TAGGCCTTGGCATGGTCTCCCCATTCTGGCTCTTCATGCTCCAGACAGCCTACATAGATAGATGCCTAACCCCTATCCTTCTGCCCCTGGAGATCACCCTTGGGCACTGGCTCATTGTCAGGCATCCTGGACCCCTACAAGGGCTAGGAAAGATGGACAGTGACAATGTAACCAGTGAGGATGTGTTTCTTATGTGTCTGAGAATAATCTTATATCAACAATAACAGCCATAATCATACTAACCGCTGATCCTTTCGGAATCCACACTCTGTTCCCAGCATGTGATATGCTAAATATTTATATGGGTAATCTCCTGTTCCATTTTTCTTACTTCTTCAAGTCTACTGCGTGTTGCCTGAGCCCAGGGTCATGTCTTACACAGGTAACCAATGTAGTATAATGGAGCTGATGGTCTGGTGTAGCTATTAGCCTCCTCACTTTATAACATGCAGTACTTTTCTGAGTGATGTGAGAACTTTAAAAGAGAGAGGAAAACTATTGCACATAAGCTTGATATAGGTCTTGGAGTTTCCATTATTTTTTATTTCATGAAATGTAAAGTTTATATATCATCAAAGGATCCACCTTTCTATTCTCATTTAAAAAGACTCTTTCCTGGGGCACCTGGCTGACTCAGTAGGTGGAGCATGCGACTCTTGATCTCAGGATTCTGAGTTCAAGCCCCACATTGGGTACAGAGATTGCTTAAAAGTAAAATCTTAAGCCACTTGAGTGGCTCAGTTAGTTCAATGTCTGACATTGGCTTAAGTCATGATTTCCTGTGTGTGAGTTCAAGCTCCAGATCGGGCTCACTGCTGTCGGTGCAGAGTCTGCTTTGGATCCTCTGTCCCCCTCTCTCTGCCTGTCCCTCACTTGTGCTCTCTCTCTCTCAAAAATAAATAAATAAATAAATAAATAAATAAACATAAAAAATAAAATCTTAAAAAGAAAGTAAAATAAATAAAAAGACTCTTTTCCAAGCTCTACTTATACCCCACATGACCTGACCGGAAAAGCTTCCATAGTCCTTCACCATAGTCTTCTAGTTCGGAGTCCAGTGTGTTAACTGCTCAAAAATGGCTATCTTTGACCAAAATCTCAGGTTGTAGCAGTGCCGGGCTGGCTCCGTCAGTGGTGCATGTGACTCTTGATTTCAGGGTTGTAAGTTCGAGCTCTATCTTGTGTATAGAGATTACTTTAAAAAAAATCACAGGTTGTTTAGGTTGCTATCTGCAAGTGGCTCTTATGTGCTGCTTTCCTGGTTTTGGATATAAGATAATTGTACTTCAGTGTCCTTAGCATTACTTAGCTGCAGGAATTACTACTGTCCTTTTATTTAACCTCTGTTGAGCCTCATGATGACCTACTATACACAGAATCATTCATCTCTGTCTCTATGTCCCTCTCTGCCCTTAAACTCTGCCTTCTGTCTCTCTTCCCCTTCCTTTCACCTCTTAAACACATCCCCCATCCTGGCTGCAAGGAATCCAAAGAAGAAACCAGAATCCAGCTCTCATTTGACATTTCTCTGGAACACTTGGTAGGTAGCATGGTATGTGTCTCAGAAATGGACATACCTTTCCCTTTTATGAGAGATTTTGGAGTACAAATAATCAAAGAAGGCTTTCTTCCATTCAGCTGAGAAAGCAGTAGCCCCAGGCCAAATACATCTTTTGATTTTATAGATACACAAACCCACAAAGCCTGAATGAAAAGCAACTTATAAGAAAAGGAAGATGATCAAATTGCTTCAGGCTCTCTGCTTGATACCTTTTAGGTGCCGAGTACAAGCACCCATTTGCATGACTGATTTAATGGTTTCCCTTATGACATTGTTAATCATCATGATTAAAATGACTTACATATGTGCAGTGCTTTCCCAGTGCTTAAAGCCTTTTTATATCCACAATCTTATCAGGTGTTCACAACAAACTTGGGAAGACACACATGCCAGAAGATTGGCCTTTTCCTGCTCCTGACCCTCCGCCATGGGTGAGAGTAACCAGCCTTACCTCAACTTAGTAAAGCACCACTTAAGTCTCGCTAAATTGCTTTGGTAAACAAAGGGTTACAGCCAACCAACCAGGCTTGGATTTGCCACATTTCGGGTCCAGTGGGCATTGGTGGGAGCTCCCTACTTCACCATGAACATCATTCTCCACCTTGCTTTTATTATTAATTGTAAGCACTACCTTAGCAGTTGTACGTACTTCTCTGGCTTTGGAAGACTTCGAGAATTCACAGCTCAGTTCCTCCAGAGCCCTACAGACAAGGCTGAGGGTGGCTGGAGCAATTCCACTGGCTTTCTTTCTTATCTCCAACCTTGTAGTCCCAAGTCTCTATGTGACCTGTAACTATTAGTCACAGAACCCCAAACTCTCCCCAGTTCCTTCCTCTCCCATATGCGCAGTGGTATATTCCCTTCTTATCTAGCCCTATGACACACATACAGCAACTACTGCTATTTCTCATTAGAGATGAGAAAACCATGTTAGGGGATGACAGCATTTGTTCAAAGAGCCAGTCTGACAGAGACAGGAACAGTTCTCAGATCCTCTGACTTCCAAATTAGTTACCTTTCCTGGTATGGAATACATGCTGATGCCCCTTTTAAAAAGTTTTCAAAAACAGGCACAATTCCAATCATTTTTTCCTAAAAAATTGCTTGTTACTTTGCCATTTCATAAAATCACTTTAGGTGTACTTTATGGTCCTTTAGAATCAATCTGAAAACGCATCTATCATTAGACCTTCTTCCCAGTCCACAAGCCTCTTCTCTAAGAACTATCTGCTTACTGGGAGGGGTGACTCCTGCTCGCCATATTTATAGTCCATGATCTTTCCTTCTTTTCGTGGCTGCCTACAAAACAGGGGAGCCTATGCAGGACGGAGCAAACTGTGCCTCCTGGAAATGTGGAATTGGACTGAATGGATATCAGGTATTCAGTGTTATGGGTCATTTGAACCAAGGACAATTAAGCTCTGGGGTCATGGCCCCTGTGTTTGGACATACAACCTTGAAGCAGAGGTTAGAAAGAGAAGGAAAAAGCTGGGACAGAGCATGCAGAGAGAGGAGACAGCACGTGGCGCTGGGGGAACAGAGCTAGGCAGGCAGCAAGGGCGGCTGCCTGGCTTCTCCACTGCTTTTCTGTTCACAGCTCCAGAAAAACAAGTGGCTCAGCCCCCACTGTCACTCCTGCCCTGGGATCATAGGAGACACTCGGGGTTCTTTCCCCTCAAGTCCTGTTTTCTGTTAGGTTAAAGAGGATTTCTAATATTTGTCATCAAAGGGCTTTAACTTAGACGTTTAGAAAACGACTTTCTGGAATTATTTGCTCCCAGCATGTCTGTCATTGGAAATAGCTACAGATTAGATGTAGATTATCTGTAAATTAGATATAGAAAATAATTGTCTCCAGCCATGACTACGGGTGTGCACGCACTCGGCCGCACACATCCCCAGCCTTCCTCACCCCTGCTGGCCTCACCTTTCTCCCCACCCCCAAGCACCCCCAAGCTCCCGGTGAAGAGAGCAGCACCCAGCCTGATACTGAGATAACTTCTCCTCGTTGGCACTCCTCTCATAATGCTCCCCCCCCCCCCCCCCCCCCCCCCCCCC